GCCAAAATATGCATTGCATTATTTTGCATCCTTGTTTTCTTTCTTTTCTATCTCAAATATTCCTCACTTACCTTATTTCCCACATGATCTCTATTAATATTATTTATAAATTGATACATAAGATAATTAAGTTGTCATGGCGAGTATCTTACTAAAAAAAAAGAGTCAAGCTCCAATGAACCCGAAAGATACTAAGGTCATATATGCTTTTCCAAATCAAATCGACAAAGGGAATTCACTCTTGAGTAAGCAAAGCGGTCAAGATTTCAATTGGGAGGTAATCACTCGACATTCTATTTAGCTAAAACAAAGACGAGATAAAATGATGAGTCCGGTAGAGGGGACGAGATGTATCCAGTCGATGCTCGAGAAATGTCATGCAAATCCAACGATTGATCATTTAAAAACAAAATTACCGATACAATAACTCTCATACAGAAAAGGAGCACTCGAAACCTCTCGTGATGGTTACATGACATGTGTCCAAATCAAATGTCCTATCTAAGCATCATCTCATCATGAAGCTCATTAGAATGATACTCATTAGACTATATAGTTTGCCATTAGAATAAAGAAAGGCCATATTTGAAAATTTTATCTTACTTAAATCAAGTCTCTCATTTGAAGTCCCATTTTGAGCCTTTGGTTTATTTCATAATAACCTAGACTACGATCACCCTTATACTAGGGGCGAGAATGCTAAAAAGCTATAAAAAAAATCTCATTATCGGAAGACATTGATCTAAAAAAAAAAAAACTTATTGCTAAAGAACTCGCCTTCCTTTAAAATAAAAAAAAGCTCAAAAGTTCAAATTCAAAACGAGAGGAATGCGATCAAATCAAATTCTCTCTTAAAAAAAGGAGGGGGACTCTTACATGGAAAGAGTTTTGTCTTGCGTCATAAGATCCATTTTGAAATATGAAAAGAAAAGGCGAGTTCAAGTTAGCCAAACATCGACATCGGATATGTCTAAAAAAAAGTCAAAAAAAAAAACAAAAGCTTTTGCAGAGTGATTCCATGTCAACAAAACCTTAAAACACTATTTGAGTCATGATTATCCGTTCTTCAAGAAACCCATACCATAACCAACGTTACGTGGCAATGAAAGCCCTTTCTAACTAAAGGTGACCTATAAGTCGGATGAGTCTTAGCCTATGAGCATTTGTGATAGAATTTTGTGAAAAAATAGATAGTCAAAATCGAGACACATGTCATGTGAAATCACAATGAGTATCAAAGTATAATAATTCTCCAAGGAACAAAAGCTCACCCTTTTCCTCATATTAAAGATCTCTTTTCATAAGCCAATTATTCATAAGAACATAAATACAAAAGAAAAAGCACCAAGTTGATCATATCGTAGCATTTGCATGATAAGTCTCCGAAGTACACATATGGATGTGTCCGAACTCGGAACCTAACATCTCTAATTGAAATCTAGCTAGCTTTCCTTATGGAGGAGGAATTTGTGAAATGCAAACATTTTGATATGCATATGGGACCTTAGGTCACAAAGAAAGTCAACAAAAAAGAAAAGAAAACATATATCAAATACGATATTATCAAGTGCAAACAATCAATTAAATGGTTGATCATAATAGGGAATGGCTACTACTTTCAATGGGATAGAATGGTCGAGTTATCTCAATATACATCCGAAGGAATAGATAAGCCCAAGTTTATCGAAAGGATAAAACCCGATCGGGGGCAAAGTCATAGTGCTCGGATCACAAATAGAGATCCAACATTGAAACTTTGATAACCGGAAGAGAAAGGTCAAAAGGGAGTTGAGTGGAGTAGCTTATGTTTCTTACGGGTATCTCAACTAACCATCATCTCAAGTTTTGTTTTAGGTAAGGTCACCTCACAATAAACCACCGCCCAAGTGCGAAATCCAAAAATCAATCATCAATCCTCACTTTCGGGTATGATCACTAAATTCAGTTCATTGCTTCAATCAAGATTGCTTAGCAATCATTGCATATTTATTTTTCCAAGGTAGGTCGCCTTTAACGAACACGACCATGTATTGCATATATAATTTTTCATGTACTCGCATATTTATTTTTCTAAGGTAGGTCGCCTTTAACGAACATGACCATGTATTGCATGTTTACTTTTCCAAGGCGAGTTGCCTTTAACGAACACGATCATGTGTTGCATGTTTACTTTTCCAAGGTAGGCCGCCTTTAACGAACACGACCATATACTGCATATTTAATTTTTCATGTATTGCATATTTACTTTTCCAAGAAAGGTCGCTTTAATGAACATGACCATGTACTCGTATATTTAATTTTTTATGTATTGCATATTTACTTTTTACGAATTGTATATTTATTTTTCTAAAGAAAAAAAAAGTTTACCCAAAAAAAAAATCTTTATGAGCTTATTACACGAAATTCTTTACAAGCTTATTATATAAAGTCATTGAAAAGCCTATTTTTTCATTCGACTTTGTGTCATAAGCATTGTAAAAAAATGATAAAAAAAGAAAAAGAAAAAAAAGAGAGAAATTGATCAATTTTACTTTTAAGGATTTAATCATGATTTTATTTAAAAGTATTATGAGCCAATTTATAAATACTAGAAAGGTAGGGAAACTATAAAAGGAAATTAATGGAGAATTAAAAAACAATTGAAACTTAAGGGACTAAAATAATTATCAAAAAGGACTTAATTGTAGAAAAATTAAAATTGAGAAGGACCTAATTGAAAGGAGGGAGCAAATGACAAGACGAACTTGACACTTTGGCCATGGACGATCCGTTCTTTGGTATATATTAGTATTCATCTCCTTCTTTAAAGAAGGAGATGAACACGAGCATTAGCAGTTTGTTACAAACCGTAACAAACTGCCATTCTCCACTCCTCACACGTTTTTTTCTTTTTCTTTTTCTTTTTCTCTCCACTCCACCCTCGTACGTCTCTATTCCTCTCCATCGATCACCACCTTCCCCATTCCTCACAACTCCCGCACCACGAACCGCACTCTTAACTCCCCACGATCGGTCATCCTTCCCCTTACAAACTGCTATACCGGTATCCACAACCATTCCGCCTATAAATAGGTAGTAGCTAGAAGAAAACGAGTCGAAAAGAAGAGGAAGGAAAGATAGAGAGAGAACGAAAGAGAGAAAGCATGAGAGAAAAAAAAGTATAGTAGAGAAAAAAAGAAGAACAGAGAGCAATAGCAAGGATACAAAGAATCTAAAAGGAAAGGAAAGATATTCACTCTCGATTCAAGCAAAGTTCTAGTCCGCCATCACAACACTCTTGTTAAATTCCCGGTTCCAAACCCCGTTCCATACTGTCATGATCGATCCGAATATACCTTTCACCCTTATTTGTTCCGCATGTTCTTAAAATTAGACTCGTCATTTGTTTCGTTTTCTATTCTTGGTTTCCTTCGTAAGAGAAATCAATGGATGATGGTTTTAATTTGTAGTATCACGTAAATGGAAAAGAGACAAGTGAGTCTAGGCTATAATTCGGACCAAGGCAAATTTTTTTTTTTTTAAAAAAACTATGGGCCTATTAGTTTGAATTTGTGATTCTCTCGGTTATTGTTTTAACTAGAATTTTTTTGGTCCTAAAAAATAAAGAGTAACGGATCCGTAAATATTTTTTTTTAGACTTCATCTTAATTAGGCTACCATGAGCATTTTATGTTTAATTTTTAGATATGTTGCGTAGGGTGATTCGTGAATTGTGATTTTTAAATTTTTTTAACAAATTTTATTTTATTTTATTTTATTTTTTTATTTTTTCGATAACTAAGATGTTCTTCGACACGCTGGTTGTGTCAAGACTCAAAAAGTGGATTCGATGTTTGAATCGACGTGTCTCCCGACGAAGGGGTCCGATGATCATTTCAATACGATGCCACGCTCAAAAATAAAAATATATTTTTTGACTTGGAAATTAGAGTTTTTTATTTTTTAAAAAAATAATAATAATTTGACACAAATAAAATGCTTTAGGAGATGAATTTAGGACTAGACCAAACATGGTACCTTTCTTTTGAAAAGGCGTTTTTGGGTGATCTATATCTTTCCAAAACGTAACTAACTCCTTGCCTTAAAATCTCCGAACCGAGTGTCCATTTTAGGTTTCTAGTTCTTTCAATACTAGGTGGCAACTCCAAACTTGTAAATAACTCTGTAAATACACAAATTCTTAATTTTTTGGGAGCCCCGTCCGATGTCGGATAGCGATATTAATTTTCACTAATTAGCCCTTAATTCTTTTTTAATTGTTCCCTCCAAAATTCCCGAAATTCATAAATTAGTCCACAAAAATTTAAAATTAATTACAAATAAAACCCTTAATAATAAAATCCAAAATTAATTCTATCTTTTTGTATTTTTTTCTTTGTCCTTTTTTTTTGTATTTACAAAAATGATGAATGGAAAAATAAACCTAAAATTAAAAACTACACAAAACCTAATAATAAGAATGAAAATAAAAATTCATGATAAAATCTGCACTATGCAAAAATAAAAAATTGTAAAAAGATCTAAAATAATTATGTGGGGTCAAATTCGGAGTTATGATAGAAAAGATTAGAGGACAAAACAAAGAATTTTACATGGAAAAGAAATTGAAAAAAAAGAAAAAGAAAAAGAAATATGTATAGAAAAACTAATTAGTTAAGGCCGTGAGAAGGGCGTGGTGCGGTGGTGGGTCAGACTAGTCCTCATTCCAAAACTGGCCCATGCTTTGATCTGAGAGAATGACGAAGTTTGCTATTTCCAGGTAGCTTACCGACTATATTTTGTCTTTTTCATTTGGCAATAAGGGTAAACTTTGGCCCACTTTTGTTGGTCAGATTCTTATGAGGCAGTAGTTTAATGCCTTCCTAATTGCAGGTCGTATTTGCCTTCTTTAGTTTGTTCTCCTTGCAAGCTCAGGACACCCTAATCTAGCAACCCTCGATTCAGTCCCCAAAAAGTTTACCAGGCAGCCGGCAGATATATATCATCAGAATTCACAAGAAATGGCAGGGTTGTTTGACAAGCAGGCAGCTATATATTTAGATGCAAGGCCAAGATATCCAAGCAGATGGTTCTCAATGCTGGCTGCTCTCACCCCCAACCACTCTTTGGCCTGGGACGTTGGCACTGGCAATGGTCAAGCTGCTATTGGTGTTAGTTCCCCCTCTCTTTTTAAAGACTCAAATGAATAAAGCTATATATATACTGAGATCTTATTAGTTTGGTTATGAAAGATCTGGCATGAATTGAGAACTGTTTTCTTATGCTACTTCGCGTAAACTTTTCTGACTATTTTAATACAATGTCTGTCCTTTGCAGGTTGCTAAGCATTACAAGCAAGTGATCGCAACTGATATAAGTGAAGAACAGTTAAAGCAAGCCATACCACATTCCCAAGTTCAATATCTGCACACCCCATTGTCAATGTCTGATGAGGAGATAGTGGACTTAATTGGGGGTGAAAATTCTGTTGATTTAGTCACTGTGGCTGCAGCTTTGCATTGGTTTGATCTTGAAAAGTTCTATCCTATTGTCAAGCGTGTTCTAAGAAAGCCAGGAGGTGTACTTGCAGTTTGGGGCTATAACATCAACATCATCCAAGTTAGCCCAGAAGTTGATCCTCTCTTGAACAACTTGTTTGAGAAAACTTATCCTTTTCAAAACCCAAATCGCATGTACGCAATTGATGCTTACAAGACACTTCCATTTCCATTCGAAAGTGTAGGAGTAGGGTGCGAGGGGCAGTCAATGGAGTTAAACATGCCACAGGAGATGTCATTTGAGGGACTTTTGAAGCTGTTAAGGTCATTTTCACCCGTCATTACAGCTAAGGGAGAAGGTGTGGATTTATTGTGTGAAGAAGTTGTCAAGGAACTCGAGAGGGCTTGGGGTGGGAATGATCTGACTAGAACAGTCAACTACAGATCATATATGCTTGCAGGAAAAGTGAAGCTGTAAATGAAAATGGTTGTATTGCTTTGTTTTTAGAGTTTGGAGCTCTAAATTCTAATTGATTGGTTAGAAGTGTCAACTATATACTGATCATATTTGCCTTTCTTCAGTTTTAGATTAGTTGGTGAAATGACAGATAATTCAACCAATGAATAATGCTTATTTCATGAATTATAGTGTCTCAAAGCTAAGTGCAACCAAATTAATGATGCAAAAATGTTGCAGATTCTACCACTGTTAGTTTCCCTCTGGCTCTGGTAGATTTTCTTGTCATGTAATGGACACAAATCACAATCTGTCATTAAATAGCCAGAAACAAATAATTATTATTATGATTAACTGGACATTCGATTTTTTATGGAGTAATTTATAGCCTAGTCCCTCTAGTTTTCAAAACTAAATTAATTAGTCTCCCTTGTTTAATTATTTAGTCTTTATATTTTTAAATTTTCTTTTAATTTAAATCTTTTTTTTTTCAACTTTTTTTTTAATAAATATAAAAATATAAAAGGGTTTATGAGAAAAGATGATTTTTTTTTTGAAATAAAATAATATTAAATTAAATGTGCTCAAAATTCACTAAATAGTTAATTTTTAAAATAGGGATTAATTAATTTATTTCTTAAAATTATTGGACTAATTTATAATTTACTCCATGATAATTTTGTTTTTTTTTTTTTCCTTTTTCACCAAACGACGTCCTTTTGTTGGTAATTTTTCATTAGAAAAAAAAAAAAAGTTTCCGGGCTGTGTTCACCTAACCCAGCTCGCCTGCTTGGGTTTCCAGGCCCAAGTTTGAAGGCCTGACTGGTACCGGCCTCTTTTGTTTTGTTTTGTTTCTGTTTTTGTTTTTTATTTGTTTCCTTTTTTATTAATCTTTAAAGGATTTTAAAATTTTTAAATAATACTTAATGACATATATATTATTTTAAAATATTTTATTCTTTCCATAATTTTTATTCTACAATAAAATCAAATCTTTCATCATAAGGAATAGAAAATATAATAAACTATCATTCTAATATTAACAAAAAAAAAAAAAAAAAACGTAAAACTAATGTTCACATAGACGCAATTTACTTGAATTAAATATTCATACGCCAACCTTTCTTTTTTTTTTTTTCAGCTGCATCTCTCTGTTTTCTCTTCGTCTTTTATTTTTTGCCCTCTTCTTTATTGTATTTTGCTTTATTACCATTGAGTGCTTTCGGGCTATTACTTTTTTATCTATCTTTGGATCCTTTAGCTGTAGCTTGTTTGTCCTCTTCAGATATTTTCTTTCAAGAGCATTTAATGCTCTAGCAACTTGAATTTTCTTCTATGTTTCTTTGCCATTGTTGTTAATTTTTTAACCTCTCATTTCTTTCATCATTTTTATACCCATGTGATGCTAACTTCTGCTTTTTTCTTTTTAATATCGAATATATTTAACAAATAATTTTCATCATTTTTAGCCTCATCGTCATCATCCAAATAAATTATTCTACCTTTTTTTTTTTTACAAGTAAGGCCTATTTTGATCTATATTTTAAAACGAATTCCTAATAAAAAATTAACAATATATCAAGACATATTTATACCTACCTAAACTTTATTATCGAATATATTTAATTAATTGTCATGAGTTGACCAATTAATAAATGAAATTGAAAACAATAAAACTATTATAAATGATTAAAATGAACAAATGAGCATTATCTTTTATTTTGTCCCAAACATCTTTATTTACTTTGTTCTTAGAATATCATTAAAATTTACTAAATACACATATCCTTATAATTCAGACGTTCTTTGCGTTTAATTCTCAAAATATTTTTTTAACTTGATTTATCATAATGAGTGATTAGATTATCGATTTTCATAACAAATAAATAAACAAATAAATAAATAAGCGTTGCTTTCGATGAACAAATAAATGAAGACTTCCACTTGCTTTCAATTATTAATTCTTTTTTTTTTAAATACATTTATTGAACATGTCCTCAAAGATTTTACATAATTATTTAGTTACACGAAAATATATACTTGCATATTTTTGGATGAATGAAATGACAAACTGTAATCGGCTAAACATCTCTTTTTTCTTTATAACTTATATGTGCCTTTTGCTTTGCTACTCAAGTGTTATTGATGTTATTAAATCTTCATATACATTCTTCTTATTATCGTTAAAAAACATACCATCTATCATCGCTCAAATTTATCATCAAAACAACAAAAGAAATCAAATTCGAACCTTTTAAATCCTTCAAACTTCCTTATCTTCTTACGAAACAAGTAAGAATAGTTTGTCATTCATGGTTCATTTTACAGCGGTGTGTGTGCACATTAATCTAGTTTAGGACTACAAAAGTTAAGAGATTATAAAATTCCTTAATATTATCTTCCTTTATAAAAAAAGGAAACCTTATACATATTTTTGGAGATAAATAGATTTTATTCATTTAACTCAAATAATAAAGGGAACTTATTTATATAATTCGTTTTAAATCATGAAAATTAATAAAACAAAAATGTATTTGCATAAAAAATTAACTAAGATCAAGGAAATTTACTGAAATGAAAATATAAATTCAATTTTTCAAAAAAAAAAAAAATTATGGATGTAAAAATAATTAGCTTATTTGTTGGAAAATTTAAAATACAACTTATTTTTTTATTAAGAGACCATACATCATATTGCATACATACATAGATAAAAGGATCACCTTAGATAGTTATTTTTTAGATGTATTTTTGAGTCCTTGAAAAACATAAAACCCTATTTTGTATAGATGCCCTACCCTCCATGAAAAAACTTTTGGATCCATTATAAATTGGGAATTTGTTTTTAAACCGTCAACTAAATAATTCAGAATTCATCAATTTAATGTGCAATCCATTTTCTTTTTAATCATAGAATTAAATTTTGTTAGGTTTAATTTTATAATTTAAGTATAGTTAATTAAAAAACTCTAACATATTTTTTTAGTAGATAAGCAATATATATATGTGTGTGTGTGTGTGTGTGTGTGTGTGTGTGTGTGTAAAACTAATTGTATTTTGAAAAAAAAATACCTAAAATGGAAATTAATTATAAAAGGAATTTTTGTGAAAAAAAAAAAAAACAAAACGAATAGAAATTATGGTGAAAAATTAATTTTATATTTTAAGTGTAGTTTTTTCTTCTAATTTTACTTCTCTTGCATTGACCGTTGTCCCACATACAACAACGTGAGAGGGCAATTAAATTAAGAAAAATAACTTTTATAAAACTAGCAAGTAAAAGTTCAAAAAAATCAAACTAAGCAAAGCCAACCAAAAAAGAAGCAGAAAAATTGGAGAAGCGATTACTTGAATGATAATCCTTGGCCAATGGACAGAATCTTCAATACAAAATTTTGTAGGTTGGAGGTCCAATTTTCCAACTTTTGCATAAGCCATGACATGGGAATTAAAAAGAACAGTCTCCAAGACCCTTCTTATATATATACATGGAGTTCCTATGCATCTTTGACAAGTCTTGAGATCGATACATATTATACAGAGAATTTACTTGGAAAAAGAAAAGAAAAGAAAGAATATCCTCTTTCATTGAAGATAAGGAGATGGCAGGTTTGTTTGACAAGCAGGCAGCAATATATTTGGATGCTAGGCCAAATTATCCAAATGAATGGTATGCTATGCTGGCTGCTCTCACCCCTCACCACTCCTTAGCTTGGGATGCTGGTACTGGCAATGGACAGTCAGCTCTTGGTGTTAGTTCTCTGTCTCCCTCTCTTAAATTTTTATTTCTTTCTTGTTTGTACTTTAGATCTGGATAAACATGATATCTTTTTATCATTAATTTTTTTTTAATTAATATGTTTCAGCTTATTCAGAAAATTAATCGTCATCATTACAAACTATTAATTAGTGTCTACCAAGAGGCCATAATATTGCAACGAATGCTCGTTTTGCTTGCCATAATTTAAGCAAAAAATTTGTTACTTGCAGGTTGCGGAGCATTATGAGCAAGTGATTGGCACCGATATAAGTGTAGAACAGCTAAAACATGCTGTGCAACATCCTAGAGTCCAATACTTGCATACCCCATTATCCATATCAGATGATGAGCTAGTGAACTTAATTGGTGGTGAGAATTCTGTTGATTTGGTCATAGTAGCTGAAGCTGTGCACTGGTTTGACTTGCCAAAATTCTACGCAGTTGTTAAGCGAGTTCTTAAGAAACCAGGCGGTATAATTGCAGTTTGGGCCTATAATGACATGAATGTAAGTCCTACCTTTGATGCAATCAAGAAGAGCTATCGAGAAGCCTGTAAACCTTACTGGAACCCCAAATGCCAAGTACGCATTAGATGGCTATAGGACACTTCCATTTCCCTTTGAGAATGTGGGATTAGGGTGTGAAGGGGAACCCTTATTGCTAGACATAGCGAAGGAGATCTCATTGGAGAGATACTTGGGGGTACTGAAATCAACATCAACATACAATACTGCCAGGGAACTAGGTGTGGATTTGTTGTCTGAGAAGCTAATTAAAGAGCTTGAAGGTGCTTGGGGTGGCCCTCGTGAATTGGTCAGGTCTGTAACTTACAAGGCCTTCATGCTTGCCGGAAAAATCAAGCTGGACGGTGAAGAATTTCCAAAGAACCTCTAATCTAGTTAATTTGATTGAATGAAATATATGTACGAGAACGGGATGGAGGTGGCATTTACATGAACACTTGCGACTGAATCATGAAAGCTCAATCTCAGACAAACAAATCAAGCAAGACATGCACAGTTATGAAACAAGCATGGTTTTCTTCATTTATGCAATCTATATACTTTTACTTTGCAATGCTGTCCTACGTCTCAAGAATTGTTCGGCTCTTCAACTTAGTGGAGAAGTCGTTATTATTCTATAACCAGCTAATAGTATAGTAAAGCCAGTGTCTAAATGAACAGCCTTTTCGGGCTGGTTGTAAATTGTAATGATCAGAATCCTCTAGTCTTATGTAATTCTACTTGGAGTAAAATGAACTATGCTAGCATTAAAGAAATGGGTGAGCAGAGTAAAATATACACAAGCTTAGATGTTAGAGTTTAGGATACAAAGAAATACAGAACCAAAACACAAGCAAGCAATCCACATCGATCCATACTATGAATTAATCAAATCATGAATAGTATTATAAGAAACACATCCTTTCCATGACGATAAAAATGCTACGTTTTTTTTTTAAAAAAATTCTCATAAACAAAACCATATTCTCTCATAAATAATCAATTTTATTTTTAATTGTTAAGTGACTGGTGGATTTTCTAACCTAACCATACTGAGTTAGCAAATGAATAGTGTGGAAAAATTGGTCACGCTAATTAGAAAACACACATTTATATTTGGAACAATCCTCTAAGCTAGGAAAAATAACAAAACAAGAAATTCTTCAACTACACATGTTTTTCCATGTAGCTATGGTTGTGGCTGAAAAGGAATCCAAATGACAGAATCTATGCAAAATCTGTTATGCAAGTAGTTTTCTAAAGGCACCAGATTTTATTTTGATTTGAAGTGAAGATTTATAAGTCAAGAAAATCTTGGAATTTTATTGGCTAACAAAGACTCTGCAAATGAGTTAAGATTGTTAGAAATCCATTGGATGCTTGTTGAAGAAAAGAAGGCAGAATAGTCAAGATGTGGTTGTGGCTGCTGTCATGTCAGTTTTGAATTGAAAATAAGTTAATTTTGGTTTTTTTCAATTTAAATTTATATTTCCATGGAAATTTTGGATTGGTTCGGAGAGCTCCTGAGTCAATATGAGCCTGCATACCTCCACTCATAATGTAAGATCAGTCTCAATGAAAGAAAAGCAAAACCAAGATTAGAGAAAGAGTCATTCAAAGGTGACAAGCAAGCTGATCTGTACTTGGATGCAAGACCAAATTATCCAAACCAATGGTATTCAATGATGGCTGAACACACCCTTGATCACTCTTTGGCTTGGGATGTTGGCACTGGAAATGGTCAAGCTGCTCTTCATGGTAGTTCTCACTCTCTTTTCTTCTTTTCTGTAGCTGAAAAGTATATGTCAATTGTAACAAATTCTTGATTTTCTAATTATCCCTTAATGATCAGATGATTGCACTGAGTTAACTATATATATATATATATATGACCATATTGAATTCCTTTTTGGGTTCTTTATTCATTTTTTTTTTTTGGCACTTCTGTAATCATATATCTTCAAATTGTTTGATTGTCAGCTAGAAATTTAAATTCATTTTCAGAAACAGGACAAAAAAAAAAAAAAAAAGACAAGGGATGAGAGTGATCATATGTTTCAAAATTAGAAACCGATCAAAAGGGTGGTGATCAATTTTACTAGTGACATGTAAGTATGTTGACTTCTCTAGTTCTTAAGGGACTAGACTTGGGTCATTTCCCATCAGCATTTTTTTGTCCACTACTATAATTCAGTTGCTTGATTGCTGTGATTGTGCCTTAACTTGCTATTACTTGAGATCTACAGAAGTTATCCATTTCGATTCGAATTCAATTATTTGAATTACAACATTAGGCATCTGGAAGATTGGATCTGATTCACATAGCAATATGAAATAAATCTGTCATGTCTAAACCATAACCTCAGAATCTTACTATGAGTTTGTTTGCAATTTAAGTGTTCTCTTTATGTTTGGGAAACCCTTTTTTTTTTTTCCCTTCAGAATTGGATGAAGTTCTCAGGCTCACTTTCCATTCTGCCATTTCCCAGGAATCACTTTCCACACAGCCATTCCATTTACAAGTTCATGGCTTGAAGAAAGTTGTTGGATCAAGTGTTTTAGCTTTTTTTGCTAGGCTGCTGAGCATTATGAGCAAGTGATTGGAACTGATGCGAGCGAAGCCCAGTTAAAACGTGCAATGCCACATCCACTGGTTCGATATATTGACATCCCATTATCCATGACTGACGAGGATCTAGTGACCTTGTTTGGTGGTGAAAATACTGTGGATTTGTTGACTTTAGCGCAAGCTGTGCATTGGTTTGACCTGAACAAGTTTTCTTCCCAGGTCACACGCCTTCTGCGAAAACCTGGACGTGTACTTGCGGTTTGGTGATACAATATTGCTGTTAGTCTGAATTCAGTTATAGTTGGTGTTCTTGCCTCCATTCACAGTGAAAGTGCAATATTTCTTCCCAAAATGAAGTGCTTTCATGGTCATTTGAGGATTTTTTTTTTATGATGTTGAGTTCATGGTCAGCATGGATATTTATTATTAATATTTATTATTAGAATAACTATTGTAAATATACAATAATTATTCTTAAAGCATTTTAAAATTTCTGATGGTCAGCAAGGCATGCATACGAGCCAATGACCAAGCTCTGAAGAGTACTCGTTGACTAATTAGAACTGTGTCAACTACAAGGCTTTTATGCTTGCTAGAAAAGCTAAGCTATAAGGCTTTTTTTTTTTCTTTCTGACTTGGGTCCTTAATTTTTTTAATTCTTAATTAAATTCTTTCGTTGGTTAATCTCAGAAAAAATTTTAAAACTTTTTTTTGGATCAAGAATTCAAGTAATTAGATAACCAATTATTTGATTTACAACCATAGGCATCTAGAAGATCGGATCTGATTCTCATAGCAATATGAAATAAATCTGTCTGTCTAAACCATAACCTCAGAATCTTAGCATTGAAAGATTACTATGAGTTTGTTTGCAATTTAAGTGTTCTCTTTATGTTTGGGAAACCTTTTTTTTTTTATTTTTTTCCTGAGAATTGGATGAAGTTCTCAGGCTTACTTTCCATTCTGCCATTTCCCAAGAATCACTTTCCACACAGCCATTCCATTTACAAGTTCATGGCTTGAAAAAAGTTGTTGGATCAAGCGTTTTAGCTTTTCTTGCTAGGCTGCTGAGCATTATGAGCAAGGGATTGGAACTGATGTGAGCGAAGCCCAGTTAAAACGTGCAATGCCACATCCACAGGTTCGATATATTAACACCCCATTATCCATGACTGACGAGGATCTAGTGACCTTGTTTGGTGGTGAAAATACTGTGGATTTGGTGACTGTAGCGCAAGCTGTGCATTGGTTTGACCTGAACAAGTTTTATTCCCAAGTCACACGCCTTCTACGAAAACCTGGAAGTGTACTTGCGGTCTGGTGCTACAATATTGCTGTCAGTCCTTCATTTGATGCAGCATTTAAGCGATTTCATGACTCAACTCTTTCTTCTTGGAACCCGAATGCCCAGTACGTATTTGATAGCTATAAGAAACTCCCATTTCCTTTTGAGAGTGTTGGTTTAGGATCTGAAGGGAAACCATTAGAACTTGACATACCAAAGGAGCTGTCACTTGAGGGATTTGCGAAGATGGTGAGTTCATGGTCAGCAGTGATTACAGCCAAGGACAAAGGTATAGATTTGTTGTCCAAGAGTGTTGTGGAAGAGCTGGAGACTGTTTGGGGTGGAGCTAAACTGGTTAGGTTATAAAAAAACATAAAGCATTATAAAAAAATCATGAAAGAGCCACAAGTCTATAAATACAAGCAGTATTTGCAATAATAAGAAAGCTCTCATAATATTTTTAAAAATTTCAACACATTTAAAACTTTTAAACATTAGATTATAAATAATAACTTATAGTTATAATCAAAATATATTGATAAATTTATAGATTAATATTTTACCTCTCTAGTTTTATTTTATATATACAGCTCGTGTCTATTACCTTTAAATATTAATTTTTACGAGAACATTATGTCTAGATAAAAAAATCTCAGTTTGTAATCAGTTTTTTCATCAATAAACATAAATTTTCTTTTAAACTTTGATAATTAAATTTGCAACCATTTTTTTTTTATATATATCTTTTTGTTAGAAAGTGCTCTTAGTTGGGGGAGACATAAAAAAACCCACAAAACAGGTTCATAAATATTCCAAATCATCGAGGCATTTTTATTTATGAAGCACGGCAAATCAATCAAATTGGTTGGCTAATGTACTCTATGTCATTGGTGAGATTTTGAATTTTGGCTCACCAACTCAAAGACAATGGAGACGACCTAACAATTGTCCTACCAAATAAAGAAGAACGTTTGACTTACGACATTAATAAAGTCCTCTCGACAAAAAAAGAAGTTAGTAGAAGCGCCTTTGTATATGGATAAGTCCTCTGTTGAGTTAAAGAGACGCGTGAAAGACAAGTATTTAGGTTTGCTAGAATTAAAGAAATAAAAAATATTATTATTACAAGGGCTTTAAAATACAAGGATGTTTTAGTGTCACTATCAGTACTGTAGCACCAAACGCATTTCATTATTTCTTTTACTGCTTCTGCAACAGTGTTTTTTTAAATTTTTTTAAACATAAATAGTGCACCTTCTTCGTTTTTCTAATTACATTGCTATCGCTGGTCCTTTTACTCTCTCTTTTTGCCTCTCTAACTCTCTTTTCTTATTTTCTTTAGCTATTATTACCTTCTTTATTTGCTATTTTTGTTATCCATAAGCTAATATTCTTCCCACCCCATGCCTCCTACTGCACTTATCCCACAACTTATAGCCCCAACCCAACTATAAGTTATTCTATTTAGCCACCCTTGCAGTAGGTAACTGTCAACTCCCCACAATCTTGTAATCATACCTACTGCCAATCTCCAACCTACAACAACTTGCAATCTCTCAAGTCAACCTACCTATTCAAATCATCATATTTTCGGCTTTCACCCTGTTCTACACTCTCCCACTCGTTATCAATTCACCCCACATCATACTTGTAAGAAAAAAATACCAAATCATCATTGATGGGTTACCAACAATTTAACAAGTATATAAAAACATCAACAAACAAGGGAGAAGAGGTCTATTCTTAAAAAAGAAAAAAACAAAGAAAAAAATAGCAACAAGAAAAAAAGCTCGAAACTAAAAAAAGAAAGAAAAACACGAGTAGGAAAAAAGGGATTTACCTATTTAATTGGAGCAAGTAGTGCCTCTCACCATTATCCTCAATTCGAATAAACTAATCATTTCAATGTAATTTTTCTTTGTATTTAGGATTTCAAGCGAGTTTAGGTTTCGAAATTTAGGAATTTTTGAGTTTAGATTGAAATTGAGTTTGGATGATTGAAAGCAAGACTAATTAAAGGTATTTAGATTGTCAATTTAGGAATTAAACCTCAAATTTAGGCTTAATCGAGCTAGATTGAAACCTAGGATATCTAGATTTTTTAATAATAATAAAATTTAAGGATTTTCAAGAAATTAGGTTCTTAGAGGCTTGAATTGGCTTGATCTCAACGAAATCAAGGCAATTAATACTAATTGAAAAAAATAAAACCTAGGATTCGATCAATTTTGAAAAATTTTGGGTAAAAGATTGAATGAGGGTTTTTTAATTCTAATAGAGAATCAATAAAGGGAGAGAGAGGTTAAAGGAGGATTAGAGGAAAGAGAGAACCGAGAGATGAACTTTGGTTCATTCTTCCATGGAGATCAAGTAGAGAAAGGGATGAGAAGACGAGATGAGGCATAAGAAAGGACGAGAAGAGGAGAGCAAGATAACGAGAAAGTGAGGGAAGGAAAGAGAGAAAAAGAGCTCGAACCAAAGAAGAAGTTGCTGGTTCATTTCTTTTGAAGAACTCGGACAGAGAGAGGAAGAAGAAAAAGTGAGAAGGAGAAGAGAGAAAGAGAGAAATAGGATGAGAGGAAGAAGGAAAAAAAGAAAGAATATTTGATTCGAAGAAAAGAAAAGAAAAGAGAGTTCTAGTTGATGTTTGTGGACTCGGATCCAACTAAAAATGAAATGGGTTGAGCTTATGTGGTCGGACTAGGCTAATCTCGACCTAGTCCAAACTTCGAAAAAAAAAGGAAGAAGAAAAAATTCAGCTGAAAAGTATATAATTAACAACATTATGTTCAAATTAATTAATCATTGGTATAATCTTAAACTCATGATATAAATATATCATTTCAACTTTATCTCATTTATTACATATAAATATGTTGACTTACCAATGCTTTAGCACTTAGTGCAACGACTCTTGGTGCAAGCAATAAGCACCACTTTTACTTGGGGGTGATGATTTAATGGCAATGGGTGGCAAGGTTGCTTTGTTACCTATTCCGTTAGGAACTACAAATTTTTTGGTACATCATCCGTACATATATTTTCTATTTTAACTTTCAATATTTTTCTATTTTGACTTCCAAATTTGTGTTTCCTTAAAAAATACATAGTGCTCTTTGTCTTAACATTTATTTCTTAGTTATTTTGTTATATCATTAGAACTTTTACACCGATACTTTATATATTTAGTGAGTTGATTATTTGTAGTTGGTGTAAGTTTTATTTTATCTATCTTCGAATTTATTTACAACTATCGTTTATGCTTGTTTCATAATTTTAAATGTTATAATATCTATAATTATTATGTGGTTTATGATGAAAAATAGTCAATATTTATTATTTCCATAACTTTGAGAGTCATTCTAGCTCTATACACTAATTTAATATTATTTAGTAATTTACATTCTTGCATTTTTTTTGTCTCGGGTCTACATTATATTTTTTATTCAATTAAATGGGTTTATTATTGAATATTTTTAGGCACTTTTTCCCGATTTTATTGCAAAATGCTAATTCCGGTATTCCTACATCATATTGTTGTTTTAGCCTACATTTTCTTTATGCATAGGGTTTTATATATGTAAAGCGAGTTTTGTTGTTCATCTTCTTTAGTTATACATGTGTTTTCTATTATTTGTTTTTGTAATATATTTCATTTGCTACGTTATAATATTTGGTCATTTCGCTCATAAATATTTGATATCCCTTTTTTTTCGATTAACCATTATGTTCATATTTTATTGCAATTTTATGCATAAAAATCATCTTCGACTTATTTGCTACCTAACAATTATGTTTTGAAAAATTATTTCCAAGTAAGACAGAAAAAAAAAGTTTTATTTTTTCCTTTTATTTCCTTTTATGTTTCGTTTTTCACATGTCTTTCATTTTCTTTTCCGAGTAAATATTTGGGTTTTTGCAATAACAACTTTTTTCTTATATTAGTGTTAACTCGTTATTTCATTCAATGAATTTATTTTAAATTATAAACTTAATTTCGCATTCTCCACCTTCCTTTTTTCCTCTCGTGTTTAGAGTAAATTTCTAGTTTTTTACATCAATAATTATGACATTATGTTGTTGCTAGCTATTATTTTATTTGATAAGTTTATCTTAAACTATAAATTAAATTTTATACTCGTATAACTCATATATTAGTTTTCGTTTATTATACTTTCTAATTTCTTCCCGAATTAGAAAATATTGTGTTAAGGTCTAATATTTTTTTTGAATTTTTTTAATTATATATATAAAAAAAGACAATTAAGCAATTGACAAACTTAAATATGTAATCATTAGTAGCTATGAACATGTTTTACTATTGTATTAACTTTTCACTTCTCTAATATAGTTGGTTTTTCACTAATGTAGATTGAAAAAATAAATATAAAGATATCTTTCCGAACCCAAAAAATAATGGTTTAGATTTTTTTGTATTAAATTTTTGCTTCGTAATTTAGTAGATTTTTTTATAGAAGGACAAAAAAAAAAAAAAAAAACAACTTTTCCGACTAAAAGTATTATAATATGTTCTCTACATCTAAACATTAACAACTAATTTTTTTCAACAATTACAACTATTATATCATGTGTCATTACCGATGGCAATGTTGAAACAAGAATGTGTATGCACAATAATTATGTCAAAAATTAGTCGAATCAGTCTGCGGCAATCTAATTAATAATCATGGATTCCAACATTGAGACACTATACCAACAATTTTTCTTGAGAAAATTGAGCAAATAAAAATCTATCGCTTCGACACAACAAGTTTCCTAGCCTTATTTTCGATGTCAACTTTGACTCAACTCCAAGATAATCGGAATAATCAAAACAAATAACTTCCCTAGAGTGCTAGTTATTTATATGTTTTTGTGCTTGGAAACAAATATGTCTATGTATTTTAGTCAATAACTAAAATTTTTGCACTTAAGACTCAATCTATTTATATTTCTTAGTGGACAATTAAATTTTTTCGACCATTTTAAAGTTCAACCTACATATACTTCTTAGTCAATAATTAAAAATTTTACACCATGTAAAACTTCAACGAGCAATAATGTTCATAATTTTATAATACAAAATTAAAAAATAAAAATAGATAAAAGAGAACTCATATTAGATAAAAAAAATCATGCCGAATGAAAAAATTATTGCAGCTAATCGAAAATACACTACTAGTGTATGCCTAAAATATATGCTATGCCTTCAATAATTGAAATGAAGGCTTTCTTTTAAACGTTAGAGAGCATTAAAATTAAGATATAAAGAGTTAGATTTAACACCTAAAGACATATTATCTCGCATATGACAATAGGTTTTACTAATCCTACCCAAGAATCAAATATTAACACACGAAAAAAAAAATTGAAAAACATATTAGATAAAAATCTAGATCATGTGGATTTTTTTTAGTATTAGCACAATATCGATAATAAATTTGAGAGGTTGTGTTTATTGATGAACTAGTCAAGCAAGAAAATGACATTAAGCAAATGGACTTTGAAAATATTTATGACATACTAATTATTGAATTTATCCTTCCAAATGAGTTTAATGATGATACTAACAAAATTGAGTTTTTCTTGTCATTATTGCTTCCTATTTTGCGGGTCTTATTCATGCCGTTATCACTTTTGATTCTTCATTATTTTAAGATTTGAGAAAGGACTTTTTCAAATGATATGAAAGTGATATGTCATTTAGGACTCGAAATCGGGGAGCCATCTATGAGAAATGCTTAGAAATGCACCTTGGGTGCCAAGCGTGACATGACCAAATTTGTTATGATGATTGAACAATACCAACGTTGAGCTAACAATGTTAAATAAAGGCACTTATTGGGAGGCAACTTAACAAATGTAGTTCAAATTTTTCTATTTTATTGTCTTAGTTGGTGTTTAAATTAGTTTTATTTTATTTTTCTCCAAATTTCCTCCATGCTAGACTTGATTTTGAGAATGTTTGCAATATAGGTGTTCTTTGATTTTGAAACAAGAAGGAAAAGAGAAGCCACATGGGCAAGTGGCATGAGGAACAACTTATGCATGTTAAAAAGCATCCCCTTGTGTTTGAATTATGGTTGAAAGTTCAAAACAAGAAGAGAGGAAGCATAAGGAGTAAGGTATGAACACGAGTTGCCCTTAAAAAAGACACACCCATGTGAGTCCGAGTTGTGTTGCACTTCGAAGAAAGAAGAGAAGAAGCATGGGTAATAGCTTTAGAGACGGGTTATGCACTAATTTCAGCATGTCCGCATGTCCCATGCCGAGCATTTCAACTTTCAAGGCAACACGGTGACATAGGTAGTAGGAATCCACACAATTTGCAAGAGAAAATCCACATAGGCCGTGTGAATTATAAGCCATTATAAAAGAAAATGAGGAAAGGAGACACAAACAAGATAACAATATATGGGTTGTGTTGCATTAGAGGCACGAACGTGTGTCTCTAACTACCCTTCCATCCACCACCCTCATTTTGAGTGCTACAATGCAGATTTGATCACTTACCTTTACTCTTTACATCTCATTTGTCTATGATTAATTCTATGTTTACATTGAGGATAATGTAAAATTTAAGTGTAGGGGAGGGATTTAGTTGTGTTTGTATGTTTGTATTTAATTTTTGTGGTTTGTATTTGAAAAAAAAAAAAGAAGATGAAATGAATGCCATGGTTTAGTATGATATCCTTCTTGATTGATGATTGATGTAGAGTTTTAACAAAATTTTATGAGATAGTTGAGATTGTTTTAAATATTATTGTTATAGAAGTGCATACATGCTAAAAAACTTTATGTCTTTATGATTGAGCATGATTTAGGTAGAAATACTAATCTTACAAGTACCTTTTGAAACTAGACCTAAGCATGGTTTAAATAAATAAGATTTTTTAATTATTATAGAAATTTGAAAAATAAAGCATTCAAATTGGAAATTTTGCCTAATTAATAAAAATCTACTCCAATGATTTGAGTTACTTTGTAACGAGGAGTATTCATTATAAATGTTTATTTTTACATCAAATGGTAATTTATGAGTATGCAAAGCACTCTAAATTTATGATATGTTAAGCAACCGAGTTACCTTCATCACAAATATCGATAGTCGCATAAAAAGGCAAATGATTACTTAGGAAAGAACAATTAAAGGACTTGAAAAAGTTTGACATGCTAAGTAACCGGTTGCCTTCATCACAAATATTGATAGTTGCATAAAAAGACAAGTGATTACTTAGGAAAGAACAATTAACGGACTTAAAAAAGATTAAGATGCTAAAGGAAGAAAAATTTTGATAAAAAAAAATCTTAATTTGTTACTTTTGCTTGTAGTCGTGAAAAATCTCAAACTATTAAAGGCACAAAGACAAAAGCTAAGGACATGGGATGAAGAGATAAAATCATGTGGGCGGTAGCTAGGGACACGAGATGAAGCAATAAAAGATATGAGATGAAATGCAAATGGTACACGATCGTGTGACTAAGTTAAGCAAGTCGTATGTCCACGTAGAGCTACAATATTTGTGTTGTAATCCTACCTTTTGCTATAAATAAAAAAGTTAGGATTTCACTTTATTCATTCTCTCATTCTAGGGAAAACTATCTCTCTTTTTGGCGACCACCCTAAATAGGAAATCCTCTTTTGTAATCAACAATGAGCCACTAAGAATTTATTATAGTTGAAAGAAAGTTGAAGCTTTTGGTAAAATCGTTGTGAAATCGTAATAGGTTATAATTCTAAACTCATTCTTTTTTTAATATTTTATGTTTTTCTATGTTATTTGAATATAATTTTTTGATTAATTGATTAGATAGCGTGCTATTTACTACATCATTATAATATATGTTAGCTAAGTATTCAAATCCATATAATTACTTGTCTAAACTAGCTTGTGGTAGTAACTAGGGGCTAAAAATTCCAAATGCATTTTTATTTAATTCCTTGGAAACAAAGAACTAGATTAAATTCTTCTAGCATCTAGAATGATTGTTTAGCTGCACCCTTCTTTCTCTAATCTAATGTTGTTGTTGGATTAAATCTAGCTAGCATCTACTAGGTTGTTCAATAGTTAAGGATTAATCAAATAGCGTCTATTTGGTTAACGAAACATTAAGGAAAGATTGAAAATAACATACATGTTATTGTCCTACGGTGAATATTCGAGTTAAGAATATATTAATGTTTGAATCAATAATCAGCTATTAAATCAAAAGTAGATATCTTCAACCAAAACTTTCCTCATTATTGTTATTTCTATTTACTTTTGATTGTTTTATAAATCTCCACAAATAAACCCTCCTTATTTTTGTTGCTCTTCAAAACAATCAGTCGATAGAAATCATTGATTAGACTATTTTTCTTGTGAATTCAGCCCTCGCTTACGCTATATGCACCCCTATGGTTGGGTTCCATAAAGAATATAAATATAATCTAATTTTTTTGTGAAACGAACACGCCATCACATAACTCCAATTTTATTTAATAATTCATCTTTTAAATCTATATCTCATGATTCTAAACTCTACCCCAAACCAACTTCCAAGTCCATCCAGCATCACATCACATACATATCTAGACATTCACACTATCTTTAGTTTCTACTAGTTTGAACAAAGCTAGAAAAAGCGTGACACAATGGCAAATTTCCAACCCAAATATATGTCTAACACAACTAATTTCTCACTTCCAATGTCGAATCTGCATCCATTTCTAATAGCAGTTGAACATTGACTTGAACTTATGAATACCGGTCAAATATATCATCTCAATAAGTAAATAAATGACTAGAGAAGCATGGTAACCCATTAACAAAGTCCGAATTATACTTCTTCATAATAAAAGATTCCCAACTAGAAGCACTGTTACCACTTAACCTCCAGAGCCACTTGAAAAATAAAGCTTTATTTTCACCATAATTGATCTGAGAGGTAATCTCACATGACGTTTGGATCGCTCAACCCCCTCTAAGCTACATTACAAGTTTATTATTATTAGAATGACCACTTCAAAGGAATCTACACCGGAGAGAAATCAAAACCTTAGCCACACCTTTCAGCATTTTAAACATAAACACATGGTAGACTGGAGTAATCGACATGGCTAGTTTCAATAAACAAATATAACCTCCCAAAGAGAGAAGCTTTCTTTTCCAACTTTGAAGTCTTTTTCGCACCTTGTAAAACTGTCTTTCAAGTGGTGATACTTCGCCCATAGTCCTCTTTGTTCATCTTTTATTTTGTGGACTCCTTTCATAATAGATTAGATATCAACTGTATGCCCTCCATTGCTTTTTTTTTTTTTTTTTTTTTTTTAACCACATTAAAAGTAAGTCCACATTAATCGACGAACAAATTCTCACAAAACTTGTCACCATCTGTAAAATAGCTTAATTTTGCTTCTATCAGTTTCTGAGATGCTAACATATGTACATTTATTAAATTTGTTGCACTTGATATTTCGTTGTTAAATGATGAGGCTGACATTAAAAAATAAAAAATAGGGTGTTTTGTTTTGTATTTTTTATGTGGAAATTGTAATTTTTGGTGTTTATATTGCTGGAAAAGAGTGGCTGCGATTCAGGGTTTCCAGACTTTGTATAGCACTTATCCCAATGGTTAGATTCCCTTCTTCAGCAGCTAGTTTTTTTTTTTTTTTTTTTTTTTTTTTTTTAAGACATAAATGCTTTTAAAGCGTGTTTTTACAATTATAAAAGTTGTAATGGAAAACTTTTAATAATTTGAACTTTTTTTTTTTTCAAAAACTAGTGTTTGTTCACATAATCAAAATACATGATATTTCTGAAATAAAATTCAAATATTTAGTGTATAAAATGTAATTTATACAATCAGAGGGTGTAAACTGTTACCCTCAAAACACAATCTGTTTAGTGTATATATATATATATATATATATTAAAAAAGGTCTTTTGCTATAAATCACTTAGTCATGTTATCGCGGGTAGCTGTCTGGGATTAATAGTTATGCCCCTAAGATTAAGCAATCGTCAAGCCATAGCTTTAACACTTCTTCGTGTACTTTGGACTCATTAGCGTATTGTGAAAGGGGCGAGGACAAAGATATCATCTCTCTTATACTTCATCTAATGGCTTTTTCTTACGCTGCTTTCTTTCTTTTAGTAATTTGTATTTACAAACCTGTAAGTTCCCAGAAAAACCACTCAAACTTGATAAGTTTGGGTTCTTCACTTTCCACCAACGTCCGACCAACTTCATGGCGCTCACCTTCTCGCAGATTTGCCTTTGGGTTCTACCCACAGCGCAGTGGCTTTATAGTGGGAATTTGGTTGGCGGGTAAGCCAGATGATATAATCACCTGGACAGCAAACCGAGATGACCCTCCTGTGCCATCAAATGCTAAGCTAGAGTTAACCATACATGGTAAGCTCCTTCTAAGAACATATGCGAACAATGGGGTCATTGAAGAGAAACTCGTTGCTAATATAGAGGAGTCAGCTTCAAACGCTGTTTTGCTTGATTCTGGAAATTTAGTGCTCTACAATGAACATTCTGATGTAATTTGGGAGAGTTTCAACTTTCCTACAGATACGATATTGGGAGGCCAGAATCTACATGCCGGGGGTGAACTGTTATCCAGAGCATCTACAGCCAACTTGTCAACAGGAAGGTTTCATCTTAAAATGCAATATGATGGGAATCTTGTTTTGTATCCCACAAACACTCTAGACACTCCACTAGATTCTTATTGGAACACTGAAACTCCTGAGTCCGCTGGTTCCCATCTATATGTAAATTATTCAGGAGACTTGTTACTTCTTAGCAACACTTCGGTCAGAGTTAAAACTGTGTTTGACTCTGATTCAGAATCTTACAGCACTTCAATTATCTACCGCGCAACATTGGAGTATGACGGAATTTTTCGATTGTATTCGCATAACTTTGACAGCAAAGGTGCCTACACTACATCTCTTACGCATTATGAACCAGATAGTCAGTGCGAAGTAAAGACTTTCTGCGGGCTCAACAGCTACTGCACCATGAACGACGATCAACCTTACTGCCGTTGTCTTCCTGGCACTGATTTTGTCAATCCCGACCAGATATATCATGGATGCGAGAGAAACTACCATGAAGAATTATGCAAAGTTGCAGAAGAAACATCGTTATATAGCATTACTGATATGGAGAAAATGACTTGGGATGACATTCCTTATTTTGAAAAATCCGTGTCTGAAGAAGATTGCAGAAGGTCCTGTTTGCAGGACTGTAACTGTGCTGGTGCGTTGTATGAATCCGGGGACTGCAAGAAACAGAAGTTCCCAGTGAAATATGCTAGGAGAACGCCAGATGGTTCGTCAAAGCTTTTCTTCAAAGTGGGTTTGAAGAGTATCGACAGCAGAAACCGATCCACTGCACCTGCATTGAAGCCTCCGGTGGTTCTAAAGACAAGCAAGAAGACGGTGATGCTCATTTTTGTTATGAGCGTCGCCTTCACTGCATGCTCTTCTGTCGCCATTGCAATTTCTGGGTTTTTCATCTCTAAGTCGAGAGTTGTTAAGAGACGAATGCTGCTACGAAGTGGAAATTTTGGCTTGGCCCATGAGCTCACTCTGAGAGCATTTTCATATCGTGAGCTTAAAAAGGCAACCAAGGGTTTCAAAGAGGAGTTGGGCAAGGGATCGTTTGGAGCAGTTTACAAAGGTACTATATGCAAAGGTAAAAGAGTTATTGCAGTGAAGAGGCTGGAGAAGTTGATGAGTGAAGGTGAAAGGGAGTTCCTCACAGAGATGCGTTCAATTGGCAAAACTCATCATAAGAACTTGGTTCGGCTACTTGGCTACTGTACTGAGGACTCCCAGAGGCTCCTAGTATATGAATACATGAGCAATGGATCGCTTGCAAATCTTCTCTTCCGAACTGAAAGATTTCCAGATTGGAGTGAGAGAGTAAAAATTGCTCTAGATATTGCAAGAGGCATCCTATATCTACATGAAGAGTGTGAAGCACCAATCATCCATTGCGATATAAAACCTCAAAACATTCTAATGGATGAGTTTTGGAATGCTAAGATCTCTGATTTTGGGCTTGCAAAATTGTTAGGGCCAGATCAAACAAGAACCTTCACGACAGTCAGAGGGACACGAGGTTACTTGGCACCTGAATGGCATAAGAACGCTCCTATATCAGTGAAGGCAGATGTTTACAGTTACGGAGTTGTGCTATTGGAACTTGTTTTCTGCAGGAAAAATATAGAAACTAACGTATCAAAACCAGGGGAAGTTGTACTTTCTAACTGGGCATACGAGCTTTTGGTTGCGAGAGAATTGGACAGGCTTAATCTTGGTGAAAATGTAGACTGGCAGAATCTGGAGAAAATGGTTATGGTAGGTATTTGGTGTATTCAAGATGAACCAGGTCTCCGTCCCTCTATGAAGTGTGTTGTGATGATGTTAGAAGGAATTACCGATGTGCCTGTTCCTCCACGTCCAACTGCAGCTTCAGCATAAGTTTCCACGCAGGAAAACTGTTAATTGCTTTCTCTAGAATTCTGTTTCTTATAGTTGTAATAACACTAGCAAAAACTCGGTTGGTTGTTTTTCAGGGGAGGGGAATTTATGGAAGCAGTGGTGTAAAGAACACGGTGACTTAGAATTGTAGTAATACTAGTATGAAGCATGTTTCTGTTTCCTCCAAATTCAAGATGTCTATTGGTTTGAATAATTATCCATGGCCACTCCATAGGAAGTATTAAAGCATGTTGCATACATAAATGGTATTTATTTCTTCTGAATTGGAGTAAATCGGAACTGATTTTCAGTTGAACATCTTTTCTTCCGCTTGGATGTCTGTTTTGATGACCATTTGATTTTATAACATTTTACTTAAACAGATCAAATTTCTTTGGAGAATCTTTAGGATAAGTAAAATAGCAGTTTATGTTAGAGAATAATATAAATCATATTAATAGCTTAAGCTTTTGGAGGAGATGATCCTTTGACATAGTATCGAGCCTTGATGATCAAACGATCGTGAGTTCGAATTCTACTTTCTCTACTTTCTCCTCTAATTAATTAAACATAAGGTAATTTGAGACTATGCAATTGGAGTGGAGTGTGTTAGCATCTTTTCTTGGAAGGTTGCTTCCGGGTACTAGTAAATGATGACGGTGAATTTGCTTAGTCAGGTGGGTCTAACACGTTTGTAGACTTTTGTGGAACACCACACTAGGTCACACTCTAATATAATTAGGGTAGAGGACAGGGAGATTATGCATTGGTTTAGACCTGAAAGAAGGGTCAAGGACCTGTGCTAACAAATTCCTACCGGTCGCAAACAAATCAGTCATTTCACACGGTTTAAATTTTGAAGTTACACCTATTTAATATATAGTCAGTATCTCTCAAACAATATCTACCTTTTCTGTATCTGTTTTGCTCTTTCCACCCCACTCCTTGCCGCATGGCTTTGTTTTCAGGGCTTCTGCTTCTAATACTATTTCTACTCTCTGTGGAGTCGAGCACTCGAGCAAACCAATTTGGTGACGTACACTTAGGTTCTCAGTTATCTCCCATCTCTAGCTTACATTCATGGCTATCCCCTTCAGGCCAATTTGCATTTGGCTTCTATCCACAAGAAAATGGATTTGCCGTAGGCATATGGCTCGCCGGTCAACCTAAGAACACAGTTGTCTGGACTGCGAATCGAGATGAAGCACCAGTCTCCTCCAATGCTACAATTCACTTATCGGAAGAAGGTAGGCTGCTTCTTCGAACTGAGCAAGACTACGAAAATCTGATTGCTAACGTATCAGAAGTCGCAGATTCAGCTTCAATGCTTGATTCTGGTAATTTTGTGCTTTACAGTGGTTCTCAGGTTATTTGGAAAAGCTTTGATTTCCCAACTGACACCATATTAGTAGGTCAGAATCTTAGTTATTCTGATGAATTGATTTCAAGTGTATCCAGCTCAAATCACTCAAGTGGAAGGTTTCTCCTCCGGATGCAGGCGGATGGAAACCTTGTCGCCTACCCTGTAAACAGCGCTGCTCTAGTTGATGATGCTTACTGGGCCAGCAATACTAACAAATACATGGGGTTGAATCTCTATCTCAATCACCGGGGATTTCTGTTCATGGATATGAACGGTTCTAAACCACTGTTATTGGCAAGAAGTGCTTACCCCTGTGAGAACAAAACAGCAATCTTTCGTGCAACACTTGATGCTGATGGGGTTTTTAGGTTGTATTCACACTGCTTGAAGAACAAAACAACCTGGAGTGTGCATATTGAGTGGTCTGCAAAGAATAATCTATGTGATGTCCGTGGCTTCTGTGACTTTAACAGTTACTGCTCTGGAATAGGCACTGACGCGGGCTGTTCCTGTTATCCTGGATTTGCTTTTAATGACCCCAATAAGAGATTCAGTGGATGCTACAAGAATGTCAGTGAAAGTTTTTGTACAGGCAGCGAAGAAGGGCAAATGTACGATGTCATATCCATAGAGAATATATTGTTTGAACGGTATCCTTACTCTGTCCAAGAAGGAAAGAAGGAAAATTGTGGTTTGTTTTGCCTGGAAGATTGTCTTTGTGATGTTGCTATGTTTATCAATGAGAAGTGTGAAAAGTATACTGCACCAATTCGATATGGTATAAAAGATAGAAACATATCATCTACAGCCTTCTTCAAGGTGAAAGCAAACCCAAGCCCTTCTCCTGCTGCACCTCCAATGAGCCCGACAATCATTATAGAAAGCAAGAAAAGTTTAATCGTGTTTCTTGCTATAATTTTTGGCTCCATTGCTTTCTTGTGTTTCATCATTGCAATCTCTACTTTCTTTGTGTACAGGGATCGAGCTTATCTATACGAAAAGCTATCGGGAGTCATAAGCTTGGCTGGAGAGTTTACTCTGCAGTCATTTTCATATACTGAGCTTGAGAAAGCAACAGATAGTTTCAGGGAAGAGTTGGGTAGGGGTTCAATTGGAGCAGTTTATAAAGGGAAAATACCTGGGGGTGAAAAAACTGTTGCTGTTAAGAGACTTGAGAAAGTTGTAGACGAAGAAGAAAAGAAGTTTCGAGCAGAAATAATTGTCATTGGACAAACTTACCACAGGAACTTGGTTCGATTGCATGGTTTTTGCATTGAGGGCTCTAGGAGGCTTCTCGTCTATGAATACTTGAAGAATGGCACTCTTGCAGATCATCTGTTCACGGCTGAGAGGCGCCCCACTTGGAAAGAAAGAGTGAGGATTGCTCTAGATATAGCTAGAGGAATACTGTATCTTCATGAAGAGTGTCAGGCCTGCATCATCCATTGCAATATAACCCCTCAAAACATTCTCATGGATAATGCTTGGGTAGCAAAAATCTCCGATTTCGGGTTATCAAAGCTATTATATCCGCACAAAATAAGGAGCTCCATGGCCCTCCGCTCACAGAGTAGAGGGCACTTGGCACCTGAATGGCAGACTGATGCCTTGATATCAGCAAAAGCTGATATTTACAGCTTTGGAATTGTGCTACTGGAAATCATCTGTTGTAGAAGCAGTATAAAAGCTGACGTTTCAACAGCAGATGATCAAATGGTTCTTTCCAGTTGGGCATATCAATGCTTCGTAGCTGGACAGTTGGATGAGCTCGTGAAGGATGAACATATAGAATACGAGTCACTGGAAAGAATGGTGATGGTCGGGCTGTGGTGTGTTCAGCATGATCCGGCTTTACGTCCTTCTATCAAGAATGTGATCTTCATGCTAGAAGGGTCCAAGGATATTCCAGCTCCACCATCCTAACTCCACTCAGTATCACCCACTAGCTAGTCTACAAAATAAGTAATATTATGTTTGATGCAAAACTTTATATGTATGCAAACATGTATGTGTGTGTTAAATGGCTGTGGATTTGAGTGATCTGTAAGATTGTTTTAGCTGTTTCCCCATTTCTAATTTGACTTGTGAATTACCTTAAAAAAAAAAGATGTTCTCTGTTATTTTTTTTTCCAGGCATATAACATATTCTGCTCAGGTGTTAGATAATCCTGGAAATCCTATAACCAGGAACTGCATTTGTACTGGAAATAGTCCTTCTATCAAGAATGTTCGTGTTTTTCGATGACGAGAAAACCAACAAGAACTCTTGTCTTCAGGTGCAGATTGGGTAAACCCTGGGTAGGAGCATCACCCCCTCCGCACAGCTACTAGGCCGAACGAAATCAATATAATAATGGGGAAAGTCAAGTGTTATGGTTTTCAAACATTATTATACTTTAGAATTTTCGGATGTATTTAGGAAGATAGAAAATGCTTGAATTCAAATGGCTGGTTTAGAATTTGTGATTTTTAGGCATTGCACCAAAGAGATTTTCTTTATATATATATATCACCACTCCTCTACCACCAGCACTTCTTCTTTTTTTTTTTTTTTTTAATTGACACTTTTTATAATGATGGAATCAATTTTCTTAAAACTCAAATGGTTTAAATATAGAATTTAAATCCATAATTTTTTATAAATACAAGAAACTCATTGTCACTTTATCATAAGCTTATAGGTTATTATTATTATAATAATTACTATTACTATAGTTTTAATATTTTACTAATCTGCTTTTCATGCTAAGTTGTAAGTCAAACAAAATAAATTTATTTTAATTTGTTAGTCTTTATTATATTGTTGGTCAACTAAAATATATAAAATTAAAAATAAAAGAAAAAATTTCATCGAATTTCATAATTTTTTTAATCAAAATTTTGTATTTAATTTATTCTTTTTTGTGTTTTTCATAAATTTTGTTGTTAAAAAATACGATCTATTCTTGCTTAGGCATTTATTCTTAAATAAAAATATATAATAATTTAAATTGAAAATTAAAAAAAATTAAAAAAAAAACATCTTAATAATATCTTTCATAAGATTGTATCCAAGACCTTCCCAGCGTCAGCTTGCTTACCTGAAATGGATCTCCATCGAATGTCACTGAAAGAGCAGGTAGGGAACAAGATCTCGCAGCTACTCAATAAGAAAAGAGTTTGCTGTAGGTAAGATTTTTAATCATTTTCCGATAACGAAGTAAAATCCCGCAGTTGGAACATCTAAGCAAGAGGGGGCATTTCTTGGGACGAGTTAAGTAAATAAGAGAACCACGTGATTCATGGCAGAGAATAAGAATAAAGGGCATTGCTTGGGATGAGTTAAATAAAGTAAGAGACCCACGTGATTCATAACAGAGAATAAGAATCAAATATTATTTGCAGACTTTGATTGAATAAATTATAAATCATTCCTTTTATTTTGAAACAATAATTTAATTAATTTTTTTTATTTTAAAAATTAAAATTTTTTTTTATATTTTTTAATTTATTTTTATTTATGTTTTAAAAAGTTTAAAGAGTAAAAACATAAATTTTCATCATATGAATAATTTGATGAAAAAAATATTTTATGAAATAAAATATATTATATTAAATAAGATCAATATTGATTAAAAGTTTAAATAATTTATTTTTAAAACATTAAGGATTAATTAATTTATTTATCAAAACTAGAAAAACTAATATATGATTTGCTTTTTATTATTCTAATTTTTCTATAACTCTCTGCTGCTTGGACAATTCAAACGCCTGCAAAATGGGTTTTAGTTGAGTAAATTATAAATTAGTCCATTTGGTTTGAAAAAATAAATTACTTCATCATTTTTGTTTTAAAAACTTACTATTTAGTTTTTTTTTCGATTTTATGTTTTTTTAATTTATTTTGAAAATTAAAAAAATTCAAAAAATAAATTTACATCATGAACTTTTTGATGAAAAAAAGAAAAAAGATGATATGATCCTCCATGATGATTTTTTTAAAAATAAATATTTTGTAATGTGTATATTAAAATTATAATATTTTTTTATTATTTATATAATATTAATTTATTAAAAGTGTTATTAATTGTTTTTTGTAATAATTTCAACTATTATTATATGATGTTAAATTATTAAAGATGTTTATTAATTATTAATATATCTAATTAGTAAAATTGTTAAAAATATATGAATTAGAATAAATTTATTAACAGTTGTTAATATATTTATAATATTAATTATGACAATTGTTATTTTATTACCGTGATGAGTCCCGATGAATGATCACAATCGCGATAGTTTTTTTTGCCACGATGGCTGTTTAAAACTATGTTTGGTCGTGGAATGAAGTGCTTTCATTATACAACTCTTCCTTCTTAAAACTCAAATATCCAGTACTTATTGGATGACTATAGCGAACTCCCACTTCTTTTTATGACTGTAGGCTTAGGTTCCGAAGGCAAAACCCACTAACTGTACATACCAAATGATCTGCGGCCGCCGGAGAGTTTTGCTGAAGTATTGGAGAATGGGGTCTGGCTATATCTGTCAGCTATAAGATTTTTATGCTATCTGGAAAAACTGGACTGTCAAACAATGGTTTTATATTTGTAATGGTTCATGCCAGCAAGCCAGCCTATTTTCCCGTGGTCTATTTCCCAAAATCCAACAATCGAAAGTTTGATGCTTGCCAACAATTTTACCATATGAAAATTGATCACAGCCCCGTTGATGATGCAAAATTTTGCAGGTTATATATGACCCCATTTCAGTGAAGTCATAACCGGGCAATACTAACCTCTTTTTTTTCACTTGCCATGATAGAAACGATTAGAAGACAAATTTGTATAGAAAAAAAAAACTAAAAAAAAATGTAAAGAGAGGGGGAGGTTGATCAGACTAGTCATGATTCTAAAAATGGCCCATGCTTTGAGTTGAGAGAAAATAATGAAGTTTGCTATTTTCAGTTACTTCACCTGCTACTTATTTTTCATTTGGCAGTAAGTGTAAACTTGGCCCACTTTTGCTGGTCAGATTCTTAGAAGGTAGTGTACATCAAATTTAATGCCTTCCTAATTGCAGGCCGTATTTTTCTTCTTTAGTTTGTTCTCCTTGCAAGCTCAGAACACCGGAATCTAGCAAGTAGCAACCCTTGATTCAGTCCCCATAAAATTTACCAGGCAGCAGGCAGATATACATCTTCAGAATTCACAAGAACTACAATGGCAGGTTTGTTTGACAAGCAAGCTGATCTCTACTTGGATGGAAGGCCAACTTATCCAACCCAATGGTATTCAATGCTGGCTGATCACACCCTCCACCACTCTTTGGCTTGGGATGTTGGTACTGGCAATGGCCAAGCTGCTCTCGGTGTTAGTTCTCTCTTTTTCATCCTCTTTTTTCTAGATATTATACATATATTCCTCGAGTTTCTTCCTTTTTTTCTTTCTCTTAATGATCAGACGATTGTAATGTGATATTTAGTGGTTCCAAATCATCCCCACATGGTTGGCTGCCATCTTATTATCGGATGGAACTCCTTGCTTTAGTTTAGTCTAAGATCATTAATGTTAGTACTGCACCTGAAGGTTATTTGATTTGTTTAAGAAAACCAAGTTTCTTGGTTTAGGCTAAAGAGTTCATGAATATCCAATTCTTGACTTTATTTCCCTTCTGGTATTATGTCTCTGCTGATATTTTTCTCACTGGACCAAAAGGTTTGATTATTAGCTTGAGATTGGTATTCTTTCTCATAAAAGAAAAGGAGAAAAGTGAATAAATGTTTCTGAATAAGAAAATGATCAAAAAAGGTTGCAGAGTTGTCTTTACTTCTCTAGTTTTAGAAGGATGAGGCATGTGTCATTGCTACTTACTTGCTTAGTGCTTTAGTTACTAAAATTAACGTGATTGCTTTCCAATTTGATTGTTTCAACTTTGATAAGCAACTGGAGGATTTCATCTAATTCACATTGCAAGAAAAAAACGAACAATTCTTTCCCAACCTTTTAGTCCTAATAGGGTTATTGAATGCATTTTCTTGCCTATATTTGGTTGAAAAAGGGATTGTTTTCTGGTCAAAACCTCAGGCTCTTGTAGATCTCATCATCAAACCGCTGCCTTGTGTAACCTGCAACGTAGAAATTTGTGCATACAAGTGTTCTGCTTACACTGGGAGAACACTCTCTCATGAAGTTAGATGAAGTTCAGGATCTATTTGCTTTCTGACTTTTTAGCTTGCATGCATTGTTGGTGGGTGAAATGGAACAGCTACAAGAATCTTCCATCCTTTTTTTTTTTTTTTTTTTTTTTTTTGTTTTGAGAGAACAATGTAACTGAAAGGTGATTGCGAACTTAGTATAGCTGCAAGTGAATTAAAATAGTTTGTTTAATGCTAAAGTTTATGGATTCATTGTATTGAGCTTTTCTTGGTAGGTTGCTGAGCACTATGAGCAAGTGATTGGAACTGATGTGAGTGAAGCTCAGTTAAAACATGCAATGGCGCATCCAAGGGTTCGATACCTTCCCACCCAATTATCCATGTCTGATGATGAGCTAATAACCTTAATTGGGGGTGAAAATTCAGTTGATTTGGTGACAGTAGCGCAGGCTGTGCATTGGTTTGATCTGCGGAAATTTTATTCCCTTGTCGCACGCCTTCTAAGAAAGCCTGGAGGTGTACTTGCTGTTTGGTGCTACAATGATATTCTAGTGAGTCCTGCATTTGAACCAGTATTTAAGCAATTTCATGACTCAACTCTTCCTTTTTGGCACCCAAATATTCAGCACATATTCGATGGCTACAAGAAACTTCCATTTCCTTTTGAGAATATTGGTTTAGGTTCTGAAGGAAACCATTAGAACTTGACATAGCAAAGGAGCTGTCATTTGAGGGATTTTTGAAGATGATCCGTTCATGGTCAGCAGTAATTACAGCCAAAGACCAAGGTGTGGATTTGTTGTCTCCGACTGTTGTTAAAGAGTTGGAGACTGTTTGGGGTGGACCTAAACTGGTTAGGTCTGTCACCTACAAGGCTTTTATGCTTGCTGGAAAAGTTAAGCTGTGAGCTTTCCTTTTCAGGCTTCAATTATGATGCAAAAAATTGATTGAAATAATTAGGAATGCCAGGCCAGCACCTTTGCTTCCTGCCATTATATGACTTGTCTTCTTGCTCCAATAACATGTTTGTATATTTTCATCAATTTTACCGTCTAAAAGTTATTACAACAACGTAACTCCGTGCAAGAATATTACAGGTTACAACTTCTTTTAGTGTTTGTAGCCAGGTTAATTTAGTTGATAAAAACTATTTGATTTGTATTCAAGTCGTCATCATACCAAATTTCACTAATACTTGATATAAAAAAGATTATTACAGAAAGTAAACTTCTTTGAACTTGAGCTTAAGCTAGATGATTGAATTACATAAAACGAAAAGAGCAGAACAGAAAATAAAATTTTATAAGATTACCAAGAAGACAAGATATTGATTAGCCTGGGGGTAGGGTCTTCTGACATGTCTCAGAGTGGCCCATGGCAAGAAATTTGGCCCACTTTTTAGCAAAGAATGGTAGAACCATTTTGATATAATCACTACCAATTTTTACTGGGCCAAGAATAAATTGAGGCCACTTCGTTGGTCAAGATATTCAGATTCATGCATAAGCAGTAGACCTACATTGCAGGCCAAATTTACTGTCTTTCAAACAATTAATATATCGACAAGAAAGAAGGATCAGTTTCTCTTTATAAATCACCTTCAAACAGACCCCAAAACATTCATAGGCACATGTACTATCAGAATCCACAAGAATTATAATGGCAGGTTCATATGACAAGCAGGCAGCAATTTATTTGGATGGAAGGCCAAGATATCCAAAAGAATGGTTCTCAATGCTGGCTGCTCTCACCCCTGACCACTCTTTAGCTTGGGATGCTGGCACAGGCAATGGTCAAGCAGCTATTGATGTTAGTACTTTCTCTCTCTTGCTCCCTAACTACTGCTAAATATATTGAGATCTGATCTATCTTCATTCTTGGCTGCCACTTACAACACCTTTTTTTTTTTTTTATTGCACAATAACTTCAACTTATTTTACTTGTTACATGTGCAAGCCCAACACCATAGCAGTAAAAATTGTCCCATCTTAAATGATAATAAGAATGTCATTATTCTGAATTCTTTCATCATGAGTACTTAGGTCCAAGTGCTGCTAATTAATGATGGTAAGGACTGAGGTCTGACAAAATTTGATCTGAAGCTCTGATATAAATCAACACTTAAATCTAGAGGTAATCAGCTTTTGTTTTGCTTTCTTTTATAGGAAAGACTTGGATAAATTTATCTCCTTGAAAAGAAATTACACATATCAGAATCTACCAAATGTTTGGCACTGACGAGGAATTTCCTCCATCATAATACAGGGTTCATCACAATCTAAACTCAACTTAGCTACACAATGTGCTACCTGATTTTTTTTTTTTTAACAAAAAAAATCTTTATAGCGACATAAATTTTTTGTAAGCCAAAATAATTTGTTATAAATGATGTCTCTTACAACCTTATAAGTGCAATATAAGTTGCAGAGCATTACAAACAAGTGATTGCAACTGACATAAGTGAAGAACTGTTAAAGCATGCCATACAACATCCCCAAATACAATACATGCACCCTCTATCATCAATGTCTGGTGATGAACTAGTGAACTTGATTGGGGGTGAAAATTCAATTGATTTAGTTACTGTGGCTACGGCTGTGCATTGGTTTGATCTAGAAAAACTCTATCCTGTCGTCAAGCGAGTTTTAAAGAAGCCTGGTGGTGTAGTTGCTGCTTGGAGATACAATATCATGCAAGTTAGCACAGAAATGGATCCTTTATTAAAGAAATTCTATGAGGGAATCGAAGTTTTCCTTTTCAAAACCCAAAAGTGTAGGTGTAGGTTGTGAGGGGCAGCCACTAGAATTAGACATACCGAAGGAGATGTCATTTGAGAGACTTTTGAAGGTGTTGAGTTCAGGTTCAGCTGTGAATACAGCAAAGCAACAAGGTGTGAATTTATTATCTGAAGAGGTTGAGAAGGAACTTGAAAGTGCTTGGGGTGGGCCTGAATTGGTTAGAACTGTCATTTACAAGACATATATGCACTTAAATTGGTAGTATTGTAACCGATTCCACTTGGAGTGTATGAAAATGAAAGTAGTTACTTATTCTTTTACTCCAAAAAATAAGTCAATTGCATTTGATCCATACATTGCATGGTTCAAAACACAGCACTCTTGCTGTCGCCCCGAAGTTTATTATTGTTGTTATTGCAGTCCACTTGCTGTTTGGTGCTAATATGACATTGTAGTTACTACTTCATTTGGTCCTGTAATGAAGTGCTTTCATTAAACAACTCTTCCTTCTTAAAACTTAAATATCCAGTACTTATTTGATGACCATAGCAAACTTCCATTTCCTTTTGAGACTGTGTGTAGGCTTAGGCTCCAAGACAAAACCAGTGAGTGTACTAAGTCGCTCTTCCCTTTTCTGTCATTCTTGTGCAGTCTGCAGAGCGCTGAAAATCATCAATGGTATCGGAGATGAAAGCGAGAGAACACAATGCTTAATTGTTGCGATAACCACTGGCTTCTAGCGACGAACGCAGGACCAAATGTTTATGGTGCCAAAATAAATGTTTATAAATTTGTTAACTTATATATATTATAAATAACATACCAACATATATTTTAAAATAATCTTAAAATACGATCATTTAAAATAGAGATCTTAGTTTTTTTTCAGGTCACGAAAATCATCTATAAGTGAATCTATATTAAAATTTTCGGTAATTTCTTTTTCAAGCATACACTAACAAGAAAATTGTCACTTTAGTAATACGGAACCTATAAAATATAAACAAGAAAAATTGTTTTTATTAACAAATAAACAATTGAGAATCCAATATATTAATCTAAATATGATTGTGACTAAAATAATTAAAAATGTTTTTTAATAACCATTAATGAAAGAAGAATGGTTATTTGTAAATTGTAATCCTGCTACATTCGTACTATTACAACTCCTTTTGTTTTGTTTTGTTTTTTTTTTTTTTTTTCCTTTGGGTCTACAACTATTAGCACAACAACGGCACAAAATTTCAAGATCAATGGTGCAATTTTAATTCAATTAGATAGATTATTAGATTTTTACTAAGCCATGGATCCAATAGATACCTTAATCACATGAAATAAAGTTAAGAAGACAATCCATCTAATATTTTAATTATAAAATATTATTTAAAAAAATTGGGAGTTTCCAAGATTCAATTAATATATAAAATGAAAAACTTAATAAATTAATAATGTAAATAATATAATAAAAGTTAATAAATTCCCGATTTTTGAAGAAAGTACCTCTTATGCTATAGAATAAGAGAAATTTAGATCAAAGAGAAGGTTTTCTTAATTTTTGGTGTTTCGAATAGAGTAAGAGTTAAGGGAAAAGGAAGATGGAACAGATTTAGTAACGGTGGGAGGTAGCTAGAATCAAATTAAACAAATATTAAAGATTTAATAGTGTATGGTAGGGAATCGAAGGCAAAAGTTAAAAAATATTAAAAGAGAACTGGGTTTGTCTAAAGATGCATTAAGTCATTTTTTGTAAGTTCTTTAATATCAATAAATATAGGCAACATAGCGTCAAATTTGAGATATAAATGAATCGATAAGAATTGTTTGTAAGCATGGTTTTTGGATGATAGCTAGTGGTCTAAGGCCCGTAGCATTTTACATAGATCTCGCCTTGTTAGCTTCCCTCATTCAATTTGAATTCCCTCCAAATTAGCATTTTACATAGATCCGCCTTGTTAGCTTCCCTCATTCAATTTGAATTCCCTCCAAATCATTTCAATTGAAAATGATTATAAGAGGTCTCGCTTATAAAGTATCTTTTTTTTTTTTTTTCTAATATGAGATAAACATCTCATTTGAAAATACTCTAATCACCATGCTTAATTTATTATCTATCTAGCCCTTTTTTTTTTCAACAAGGAGAAGACATGGCTAGGAGGGACGAGTCAGTACTCGACCAACTCGTTGAAGAAAGTCCAAAACCCAATCGTTAGCTCTTCGTCCTCGTTTGTCCTTCTATTGTTTTGTTTTGGTGCACGTCCGTCCAATGGCGCAGGGTGATTGAAATGGAGACAACGGACGATAGGTTATCTATGGCAAACATTTAAGTTCGTCCCGCACTCGCGTGTCTCTTCCATTCTCGTCCCTCTCGTATTTCAATTGTTTTTCAATCATGTCCCTCAAATAGAGTACTTTGGTCCTTTTTATCTTAATTGTTATAACCCAAAATTTTGGGTTAAATTTTTTTATAATTAAAAAAAAATTCAAAACAAAAAAAATGATAAATGATAAAAAAGAAAAAGAAAAAGAAAAAAAGATAGAGAAATTGATCAATTTTACTTTTAAGGATTTAATTGTGATTTTATTTAAAAGTATTATGAGTCAATTTATAAATACTAGAAAGGTAGGGAAACTATGGAAGGAAATTAAGGGAGAATTAAAAACAATTGAAACTTAAAGGACTAAAATAATTATCAAAAAGGACTTAATTGCGAGAAAAATTAAAATTGAGAAGGACCTATTTGAAAAGAGGGAGCGAACGACAGGACGAACTTGACATTTTGGCCATGGACGACATGTCGTTCGCCATTGAATTCTTTGGTATATGTTACCGTTCATCTCATTCTTTAAAGAAGGAGATGAATACGAGCATTGGTAGTTTGTTACAAATTGTAACAAACTGCCATTCTCCACTCCTCATACGTTTTTTCTTTTCTTTTTTTTTCTTTTTCTTTTCTTCACTCCACCCTCTCATGTCTTTATTCCTCTCCACCGATCACCACCTTCCCCATTCCTCACAACTCTTGCACCCACGAACCGCACTCTTAACTCCCCATGATTAGTCATCCTTCCCCTTACAAACTGCCATGCCGGTATCCACAACCATTCTACTTATAAATAGGCAATAGCTAGAAGAAAACGGGATAGAAAAGAAGAGGGAGGAAAGACAAAG